GAATGTTCATGGCAACATTATTCATAACGGCCAAAAAGTGTTAACCACCCAAATGTCCATCAATTGATGAAGAGATAAATAAATTGTGGTATACAATGGAATATTATTTAGCCATAAAGAGTACTATATATGCTACCACTTGGGTGAACCTTGAAAATATGCTCAGTGATGGGAGCCAGACTCAAAAGGCCACATTTTGTATGATTCCATTTATACCAAATGTCTATAAAAGGCAAATCCACAGAGACAGAATGCAGACGGGTGGTTGCCAGAGGTTAGTGGGAGGGAATGGGGAATGGCTGCTTGATGGGTGCAGAATTTCTTTCGGGAGTGATGCAAATGTTCTGGAATTATTAGATAGTGGTGATATTTGCCTAACTTTGTAAATATACTAAAAACCACTAATTGTACACTTTAAAACGGTTGAAATATTGAATTTAATGTCATGTGAATTTTACTTCAGAAAACAAAATTGACTGCAGCTTTGAAGAGACAGCAGCAGACCTGGGTCATTATCCCCAGTTCCATATCCTAAGTGTGTCTTGGGAAGCAAAGATCCTGAAATCATTTTGAAGTGTCAACAGCTAGTCATTCTCAAAGGCTCGTGCTGGAGATCTGACAGCCCTGGCTCAAGCCAAGAGCGTGACTCCACTGAGCTCCTCCAGCTCCAGCGAGATCATGCTGGTGCTCCCTGGGGCGGGTGGGCAGGCCAGACGCCAGCATGAGCTTATTGTTGTTGGTGGGTCACACACCCTTTTTGTTCGGCAGAAGAGGAGCCTGGCAGGACCACATGCATTCCTAATGTGACAAAGGTCAGGGTCTTGCAGCCATCCCTGAAGCTTCTTGGGGGCATTGACAGTTGATGCCGGTGGGGGAAGTGGGGACTTGTTAGTGGCATTCTTAATGAGGACCTCTCCTTTGCACCTCTTAATATCCTCACTAGTAAGGCACCTACACAAGCAATAACAGGGTTTATTGATTGTTTCCGTTCCTGGGACCAGGAGGCATGAGCTCAAATGTCTGCTTTAAGTGCAAAGAACCTCTTAGATCACTGACCATTATTCCTCTTTTTCTTTTGTATTTGGACAATGCCGCTGGCAGTTTAATTAGAAGACAGATAGTGTCACAGCACTTAAAGATGACAAGCGTTCATCTACACGTGCTAATCGGCACCAGGCAGTTAGGATGACAGCACCCTGCTTTATTGTTAATTACGCTATTTTACTAACCTTCAGAAGCTTGGATTGTTTTCAAAGATTTACCCAAGGCAACTAACTGCAGCAGTTTATCTAGAATATTGCCTGCATTTGGCTTGAATATGCAATGAGGACCCTTGTTTCAAAGCATCAGCAGTGAACTCCTACAATCTATAATCAAACAATGGAATGATTCAAGACACATGCTGCTAATTTTCCAAGCCCTCTTGTCCCCTAATGTTGCACATTTTGATTGTGTTTAATTTTTACTACAATACAACAATTACAATTAACATTCTTTTATCAAATCTTTATCCTCATCTCTAGCTATTTCCTTAGAAATATTTCTATTAGTGGAATTACTGGATTAAAAGATGAGAAGTTGCATAAAATATTCATTATATTTGCCAAATTGACATAAACTTTCTGAAGAGCAATTTACCCTTCCACCCACAGCATATGAAATTTTTTCCCCTTCCTTTTCTTCTTTGGCCTTGTTTTTTTTTTTTTTAAAAATCTGTAACTAATTTCAGAAGATTTGATTATTTGTAAAGCTTAACATCTTTTTCTCGTGATTATTAGCCCTTTATATATCCCCTGTGAATTTTCTGAGTTCTTTGCTCATTTCTGTTTGTGATACTCATATTGTCCTTAATTTCTGCTCTTACATATTAAGAATTTGCTGGAATGTTTTCATTATTAATTTTACAGCTACTATCATAAATTGAGTTATTAGTAGTTTTCTTTTTGTTCTGTCTTCACTAAGTTTTGGTATCAGCATTGTAAGTGTATCATAAATGAATTGAGGGCTTCCTATCTTTTCTTAGGATCCAGAAATGTATACACTATGAATTACATCTGTTATTTTCTTTTTTGTGTGTGTTCCATATTTTTTTTTGTTTTTCTTTTCCTAACTTGCTGAGTTGCATTCTTTTTAAATAAAGGAAAATACTTAAACCTATAAAATTTCCTGGGTATAGATGTGACTTTGCTCTATACACATGGTAGTTAAGGATTCCACTTCCAATGTTTTGTAAATAGCCCAATTTTGCTATTTTTGATTAAATAATTATATGCTTTTAGAAGACATTTAGGGTTTTTTCCATAAACATGTGTTACTAATATAATTTTGGTGCATTGTGGTGCAGGAACTTGGTTTACACAACGGAAAAATGTAGTGATGTTTTCTTTGTGATCTAGTATAAGATTAATTTTAACTGCTCAAGTTCTCACAGTCTTAATCGCTTAGTTTAACAGATTTTAGCACATGCCTTTTTATTTGTGCTGATTCTCAAGTGAAAGAGTACTCTCTTCTCGGAAATTTATCCTCTCTTCTCCAGGCCTATGATGCTATTCTAGTTCCACCTCCTATCATCTCTCATTTGGACACAAACTCAGAACTGGTTTCCCAGCCTTTGGTCTCTGCTACTCCATTCCTCCATAATGTCACTAAAATACCCATCTCCTGTTTACAGGGTTTTAATGCTTCCGCACTGCCTAAGGAACCCAGGTCAGTTGTTTTCTTAATGATATTCATGGGCTTGTCCCAATCTCTAGGCATCTACCTTTCCCAGCTTATCCCTACAATTCTTCAACCCCCCTGTGTCTCACCCTCACCTCCCCTGAATCCACGCTCTACCTAGGGGTATAGTTAACACCGTCCCTGCTCTCCTGTGGCCACCCTGAGCTACAAGCCATTGCCTGAATTCCTTGACTTTCTCACTTTACTTATGGAGGTAATCTTTCCGACTGTCGGGATTTCTCTTTCTAGGTGATAGCCCCTTCACATCCCCATTTATACCAAGGTCTACAGTAGGTCTCCTAACATTCTTATGTCTTTACTTCTCTACATGTCAGGTCTCCAAAGAGCCCCATTTTAAGAAGCTTTTAAGGGCATTCTTCAAGGGGACTTTAAGGACTGTTGTACCTGACAGAAATGCCTTCCCAGAAATAGTAATTAGAATGTGAGCCCCAGGCAGAGCCGGCCTCAGCATTCACTAAGAGCCAGTGTGAGAAATGGTCATGAGAATGCACCACTTAAAGTTCTTTTCACAAAATTTGCATGGTAACTCTCCCTTGGAGTACAAAGTGTAGAAAAGCTCATAGTTACTAATAGCCTGGTGTGATTTCAATTAAATAATGACAGATATGTAATCCACTGTGTCACTGTTTTATTTTGGCTACTGGAAGGCCCAGGATTGCTGTTCCTCCAGGTCTAGCTTTTATGATGTGTCAACCAGCTTTGTGACTGTGCCAGCCTGTTTCTCCACCTATAAAATGAAGGTAACCAACACCTACTTTGCAGAGTGGGGTTTAAGGAGCCAAGTATGGTGTCTGGCAAATTTGTTGACAAATATGTATTGATTGACTGCCACATATGCATTGATTGACTTCCATGTAGGTCCTAGGGGTAAAATTAACAGATCCCTGCCCTCCTGGAGCTCACCTTCTAGAGGGAAGGCCAGAAGACCAATAAGTGAAGGAATACATGGACAATGGCAGACTGGCAGACAGACCACGGTGAGCACCGTGCAGGAAATAAACAAAGCATGTGGTGGAGGGCAGCTGGGTAAGAGGTGGCCTACGTCAGCACAGTTAGGGAAGACTGCTGTGTGCAGGAGAAATGCACCCTGACATTTCAAGGAAGAGAATGAGCCAGCCACATCGAGAGGGAACGGAGCGCCTCAGGTAGAAGGAACAGAACAGCCAGGCCCTGAGGTGGGAAACCATTTGGCAAGTTCTGAGGCCACTGAGGCTACAGCACAGTGGGCAGAGAGAATGGTGTGCGATGAGGTAAATAAAAGAGACAGTAGTATGGCTAATAATAATTGCTTTGCTCTAATGATTGCTTATTTGACTTAGTGGTTTTACTATCCCTGGGCCTTTTATTATAAGCAGTTTCAAATACTTTTGAAGTGGCCAACAGATAAAGACTGAGGTGGATAAAGTCCTTCATTAGAAATCATTTTAATAGCTAACATTTATCAAGAGCCTACTATGTGCTTTATATGACTTAAACATTTAATTCTTCCAATAATCCTATATGGTAAATACTATTATTACTTCCTTTTCACCTATGAGGAAACGAGACACAGAGAGTTTAATAAACTTGCCAAAGCAGGGAATGAGTTTAAGAGCAGGATTTGAATCCGGGAGTCTGACTTCAAAGCCAGTGTTCTTAGACACATGACACAATGCTGCCTCTTTGGGTTCCATAGCTATTATCAATCAGTTATTTGGTGGTACACACAGGTCCTTCTTGAGTTTGTAATAGTTATTGTGCTTGCTAGAAGCAAGAAATATGTTTGGAATTCATGATCCATAAACTACTATCAGAGATTCATCTAGCTTCTAATTCTATTTATTAACGAAGAATAGGGTCTAATGTAGCATGAGAAAAATTTCCCTTACAAGAAAAATAAGAACTCTAATTAACATCTTAATAATTATTCTCAATTTACAGAACTCATCCCTTATTAAATCTTTATCTATAATGCATTACATAGATATTTATGTGGGTTAAAATATACCCAGCTTGCAAATAGCTACTGGTTTGCCCTCCTGGGGATACCAACAATGTGTGTCAAGCAGACACAATGAAGACTGACTTTATTATTTAAATAGTTCTGGTCAGAGAAGGTGAGCAGGCCAAGCAGTCTGAGGGCTGGTAAAAATCTTTTTTATAATAATTACTCATTTTCCAGCTGGAGTTCTCTTTCAGTGTATAATCTGAGACGTGACCAAAGCCTACCCAAGGCCACAGCCGTCATGCTCCCTGGCAGCGTCTGCCATTGAGTCACTTACGTTGCCATCATGGTTTGGGCAAGAGAGAGGCTTTCCAGCAGCCACAGCGGTGACCGTCTCCAGGATGGAAGACTCCTCGATGTTGCTGCCTGGAGTTCGCTGCAGCACGTCCATCAGGTTTGTGATGAAGAAGTTGTTCTGGAGCGCGGCCACCCCTTTCTCGGGCAGGATGGAGGTCTGGCGGCACACTGGGCAGGAGAGGGTTAAACTGTGGGCGGGAATGTAGTTCTGCAGGCACCTGTGGCAGAGGCAGAGGTGGGAGGACAGTTTAGCCTGGGGCAGCTCAGGGGACAGGACTGCCCCCTCTTGCAGGTATCATATGTGTGTGTTCTCAGCAACTACATGGGCTGCTTGGCAGAAACTCCCATTGTAGTCTCCTCTACTAGGAAAATAACATTTCAGACACCAAGAGGTGCCTGGACTCACACTGGCCTTGTCAACTGATCAGGCAAAGGATTATACTCAAGGAAAAGAAAAATGTCATTGACTTTGGTCATATATCCTAGAGCCTGGGCACACAAAGTGTGGTCCATGGACTAGCGGCACCGGCCTCCCTGGGGAGCTCATTTGGGAGAAATGCAGACTCTTAGGACCCATCCTGGACCTGCTGGATCAGACCGCCAGGCGATTCCTACACACGTTCCAGTTTGAGAAGCCCTGGTCTACAATATCTAGTGTTGGGCTCACACATTTGTGGACTTTTACTTTTTCAAGAAACATGTCAAATATTTTTATTAGCATTTTTTTACATACAAATATCATGTAATATCTGACTAATATCATCATCAGATATTAAAAACACATCAAAGTGGAAATGTTTGCTTGAAACAGGGATGGGACACCCAGAGTCAGAGACACACTGTCTCTTTTCCTTGTCTCTCTACTCAACAGGTGTCAACTTAATTCACGGAACGTGTCACTAATAACGACTAACATATATGCCGCTCACTAAATTCAAAGTACTTCCACTGAGCCTATAAAGTAGGTACTATTATGATTTCCTTCCTTCCTTCCTTCCTTCCTTCCTTCTTTCCTTCCTTCCTTCCTTCCTTCCTTCTTTCCTTCCTTCCTTCCTTCCTTCCTTCCTTCTTCTCTCCCCCCGTCCCTTCCTTCTTTCCTTTCGACTCACTCTGTCACCCAGGATAGAGTGCAGTGGCATAATAGCTCACTGCAGCTTCAAACTTCTAGGTTCAAGAGATCTTCCTGCCTCAGCCTCCCTAGTAGCTGTGACTATGGGTGTGCACCATGATGCCTGGCTAATTTCTTTTTATTTTTTGTAGAGATGGGGTCTTGCTATGTTGCCCAGGCTGGTCTCAAACTCCTGGCCTCAAGCGATCCTCCTGCCTCAGTCCCTCTCACTACAGCACCTTTGCATATACCTGAACTTCTTTCTACTCACTCCCCTTTGCTTAGTTAATTTTTACTCATTGTTGCGGTTTCTGGTTAATCATCACTGCTGCAGGAAACCCTCCCTGCTGAGCAAATTCCCCTATTATATGGTTTCCTGTGTACTTCTGGTGTATAGCACTTGTCCCTGGTTTAATTTCACATTAATCTGAGAGATTAGGGGGTTAGTGACTAGCTCCTTCACTGGGCTGTAAGCTCCATGAGGCCAGTGACCATGTCCAGTTTGGCTCTCCTTCGAGCCCTGTTGATGGTGTTTTGGAAGGTGTGGGGCTACGAGAGTGACTGTGAGATGCTCTCCCAGTAGCCAGTGTGGATGTCTAGCAGAAGCCGGACATAAGGCTCCTAGGGCTCTGTCTCCTGACAGGGAGACAGCTGTGAAGTTTCGTCTCCACCTCAACAAAAATTTCCCATCTTAAGGAAACTTGGCAGCACTTTCAAAAGGAAATAATTTCAGTGTGCATGATGCTAGAATGATTTAACACATAGCATTCGATAGAGACTTGCTATGGTCGGATCTCCCAAATCTCTACCACTAGCTATTGGATGGGGCACAGGGTCGGGCTAGACCCAATGGAGAGGATGGGGCAGACCCGTCAGAGTGAGGAAGTAGGACCCAAAACACAGACTGACTGGGCACTGAACACTGGGGGACGGGCAGTTCTGCCACGCTCAGGCTGAGTGGCTCTCAGTGTTCTCTGTGGACTGACGGCCGGGCCATGCTGAGGCCTACCCCGTGTGTCCCCCCCAGGGACACACGGACATTAGCTGCTGTTTGTGTTGTAGCTATAGCCATCGTGGGGGCGGGGGGTGGTGGGGAGAATCACACCCTATTTAATTATTTTGGAATATGAATTATAAAGCACTCAAGCCAAATGTAAAATGAATAAAATAAAAAGTATTAGTGCCCTGTATACCACCACTAAAACAAACAAACAAAATCCCCATATTGGCTAGGTATGGTGGCTCACACCGTAATCTAAGCACTTTGGCAGGCTGAGGCGGGAGGATCGCTTGAGCCCAGGAGTTCAGGACCAGCCTGGGCAACACGGCAAGACCTCCAAAATTAAAAAATTAGCCAAGTGCGGTGGTGCACACCTGTAGTCCCAGCTACTCAGGAGGCTGAGGCAGGAGGATCGTTTGAGCCCAGGAGTTTGAGGTTGTAGTGAGCTATTATTTTGCCACTACACTATAGCCTGGGCAATAAGAGAGAGATGCTGTCTCTAAAAAAAGGCCCCAAAACCCCATATCCATGCATGTGTGCATGGAAACACACACACAGACCCCCAAACAATCAAAAAACCACAACTACCAGTAACAAATCTGCCATCTCCCTCCATTCCATCACCACCACCAAAAATGTGGTTATTCTTTTGCAACTGAGACCTTCCAAAGTTAATCAACTCAAAGAATGATTAATCAGGTAACAAATGCATGGTAAATGTAATCAGCATAGATTTGAATCCATTTGAAACACTGATTTCCTGTTCTATAATAGATCTGAAGCATATTAAATAATAATACAAAATGTATTTAACAAAGTGCTATAAAACATAATTACCACATTTGTTTTTAAGAAAGATATATAACCTTACTAGGGAAATACTTACAAATAAGCCACAGATAAACTACTTACTAACAAATTTCTTATGTTTAATTATTTATATGATAAGTTAAAGAATGGGGTAAAAGTATACTTTGATAACTGATTAACCCCTCCAAAAAAAAAAATACCCTATCAAGAAGGATAAAGAAGTATGTTTTCATATATAGTAAATTACATAGTCAGATAATTTATTATATATATGTATATTTATAGTTTTTTCTTTACCTAAAACATCATTGTGTTCAAATGTGACATTAGTATGTATTTAAAGTGTCTCTGGAAAGGAAGCTGTCCTTTGAACTCACCCTCATATATGGTGTTTTACTTGATTTGTTATATGGAGGAAATGATAGATTTTTAACTGGCCCTCACCAAAGACCCTCTCTAGGGGACTGCTGTTGGCAAAAATTGTTTCACAAAGAACAAAGGGAAAAATTTAAAAATTTTTTCATCTTAAAATACTTATTTAATGCTCCATCTCTGTGGAAATGAATCAGTAGTTACTGGATTGCTTTCTTCCACTTGTAATGGTTTAAAATAAAGTAAATTATTGGCAACTCCTGATTCTATTTTTTGATGTCTATCAGAAGCACAAGAGATTTGCTGTCTCCCAAAAGGTAACTGCAGAATTCTGGGAAAGAATCCAATGGGAGGCCGTAGGAGGTCAGCCCTTCTCCAAGCACAAAGGAGGCTTACCTCTCGCAGAAAGTGTGCAGACAGGGGAGAACCTTGGGATTCTTGTACCGTTCCAGGCATATACTGCAAATCAGAAACTGCTTGTCAATCTGACGCACCACAGGACTTGGGATGTTGGTGCCTTCACTGGCCATCCTAGACCACTGACATGGGGGGCCGGCTGTCTTTGACCCTGCACGCTGCTGCTGTCAGACAAAAAACCAAAATGGAAAAATATATAATAATCTGTAAGTGCAAGTCATTCATTGACTCTTTCACTATAGGCATCATGTTATAAATACAGGTATAAGTCAATGTTAGTGACCTCGAAATGACCATAGCCAACCTTTATTGCTGTAGAAGGACTACAGTGAGCTCCCTGTCGTTTGTTTCGTAAATCAATAAAATAATTAAGCTGGGCACAGTGGCTCATCCCTGTAATCCCAACACTTTGGAAGCCTCAGGTGGGAGGATTGCACGAGGCCAGGAGTTCAAGACCAGCCTGGGCAACATAGTGAGACCCTGTCTCTACAAGAAAATAATCACATGTTCACCATGCAAACAAAACGAATTAGAAGAGGGTGTGTTGTGCAAAGGGATATGCTTGCTGGGTTTCAAAGCAGTGGTGACTGAACGGATAAATACTTATATAGCTATGTCTGTATATGCCTTCGGCCATGACTATATTTGAATACATATTAGCCTTTTATATTCTTATTAAAATAGAATGTTTTCCCAACTATTGTACTTGAAGAGATCAGAATATGTCACCCCAAAATATGTCACTTTGGCATAAAGATTATTTTGATCTGAAGGCTATGAAGAAACAGCAGACACAAGAGGAGCTCTCTGTCCTCCCCCATCTGCCTAAAATCAGGGCATATATTTCTCTCTTACACGGAAAATTTCCATTTCTAAATGTGTCCCTTTCTCCCATATCAGGAAGAGAAGACTCTTAAACTCTGGAGGCTGTACAGAGATGTCCCTGCCTAACAAACCTTACTAAACAAACCTGATCTACCATACATTTCCTAGTCACCGTTACACAATTTACTGTCCTAAGAGTCCAAACTCCCTTTTCCTTTGTCTTGTCAGTTCTCCACAATTTATCGCCCTTTGTTAAAATAGTATATAAACCCCCAGGTCTAACTGCCTCTTTGGGTTTTCACTTCTTTTCTGTGAAGCTCTTGTTCATGTCAAATTAAAAATATAAACATCAGGCCGGGCACGGTGGCTCACACCTATAATCCTAGCTCTCTGGGAGGCCGAGGCGGG